AGTTCACTCTTATTTTCTTCCCATGGAAGAACCTTCACAGACATCCTTCCTCATCCCCTGGGGTAAGCAGGCGTTCAGAGTTCCAGTCTAAACCACACATCACACACTGTCCTTGAGAGCTTATAGGAAGGTGGATATGCTGCAACTTGACTCCAAATGCTTATAAATCGCTTTCTAAACTTTTCCCTTTTTCCTTTAATAACATGGTTTTGTGTCTGTGTGTGCATGTGTACATATTCATGACTTGATGCATTCACATATATCCACGTGGCCAGAGGTCATACTGAGTTTCTTCCTCTGTTGCTCTGTGGGACCATCTACTGAGCAGGGGCAGCCTCTCTGGGCTTGTATCCCTGAAGAAAAGTGACTCATTCTCCCAGTAGCCATCAACTGCAAATTGCCCCTCAGATGGGGTGGGACTTCATCAGCCTTAATGTTGAGACAGGTTTGGCTAGTGAGCTCCAGAGATGCCCATGATTCTGTCTCCCAAGTGCTGAGATTACAGATGCACACAGCCATGCCCAGGTCTTTACCAAAGATGCCTGGATATTAGGTATGTGTCCACAAAGGTACAGTAATCTGGTAAGAGGGAACCTCAACTCAAGAATTCCCTCCATCAGATTGACCTATAGGCCTATGGTCATGTCTGTGAGGCATTTTCTTAATTGACAATGGATGCAGGAGAGACAGGCCCACTGTGGGTGGTGCCAGCCCTGGGCAGGGGAGGCTGGGCTGTTTAATTAAAATACTGGCTGAACAGAAGCCAGGGGAAGCAAGCTTGTAAACAGATTTCCTGTATGGTCGTCTTCACTTCCTGTCCTGGTTTCCCTTGGTGATAGATTATCATTATCTTGAAGTGTAAGCCACATAAACTTTCTCTCCAAGTTGCTTTTGGTCAGTGTTTTATCACATCAGAAGGGAAACTAGGGCAGTGTTTGAACTCAGATCCTCAGGCGTTTTCAGCAGGCACTTTATTGACTGAACTGTTGCTTTAGCCCCTAGTAACAGCACAGTTTTATTTCATTGCTTCCTGTTTTGTTTTTATTTTTTGAGGCAGGATCTTATAGTGTAGCTCAGGCTAGCCTGGAACTCATTATATGATTATATAACTTGTGGTAATCCTCCTGCCTCAGTTTCCAGAGTGCTGGGATTAACAGGTATGAGCCAACATGCCTGCTCTAACTTCAGAGTTTGCAAAACATGATCTTTATCTTCAGAGGAATTAGACAAAGCAACACACACACCCCTGAGCGAGCTCTGCAGGTTTTGAGGACATTAGCTATTTATTGTGCTAGAGAGCTTTGATTTATCAGCTTGACACACCTGGGAAGAGGGACCCTCACCTGAAGCATCGCTTCCATCAGACTGGCCTCTGGGCATGTCTACGAGACATTTTCTTGATTGTTAAGTGGTGTGGGAGGACCTACCCCACTGTGGGTAATGCCACCGGTGGGCAGGTGGCCCTGGATTGCTTAAAGGCCGAGCACAGGCCAGAGGACCAAGCCAGTAAGCAGCACTCCTCTGCGGTCTCTGCTTCAGCTCCTGACTCCAGGTTCCTGTCTGACTTTCTCAAAGATGGTCTGTGCTTTGGAAATGTAAGTTGAAATAAACCCTTTTCCCCCAAAGTTGGTTTTGGTCACAATGTTTTATCACAGAAACAGAAACTCAAACTAGAACAGCTACTGTGTATGCACTGCGGCAGGTACAGTGTGTTTTGAGATTTCTATCCTAACGGAAAGATGAGCACACTTAGGGGAGGGCAGTACTTCCTGCTGCTCACTGGCAAAAATAACAGAATTTTAAAATGCTGTCTATTGAGACACTAATAGCACGAAGGACGGTTCTTTAAAACAGTGAACCAGTATGTCCTGATTGGAACCTTGCTCTAACTCAGTAGCTAATTTCCTATTCAGAAGGCCCCCCAGAAGCGAGGAAAAATTTTGTGTCTCTATTGGATTATATGAGGCAGTTCTTTTCCAAGATCCTTTAAAAACAACCTCACCACATGTTTTTCCAAGATTCTGACAAAGGGCACGGGTTTCCTGGCCAGCCCTCCCCAAATCTGCCGCCTCAGCCACAGTCTCATTCCAAAAATGCTTCCTGGGCATGAAGACCTGGCACGTAAATAGGCGGTCCTAGGAAGGGGCTCCAGAGTTTCACAAAGACTAACAGAAATTAAGGAGGCAGAAGAGTCAGCAAAGCGTCCGCTGCCCCTCCTTGTCCTACCCAGAATTTGTCATTGGAATCAGAGCCAACTCCTGTGCTAATAATTAGGAAAGTAGAGTCCTACTATCTTTTATCATTCTCCTAAAAAATAAAAACAGGATGAAAACACATTTGCTGAAGGATAAAATATGACAAAACACAGGAACAAGGTTGTCTATTAATTCCATGGGAGTATTCTTTTAAGATTGATTCATTTTTATTTATGTGTATGCGTGTGTCTACGTGAGTTTATATGCACCATATGAGTGCTGGTGCCTGCAGAGGCCAGAAGAGGGTGTCAGATTCCTTGGAGCTGGAGTTAAACAGGCAGTTGTGAGCCACCGAACATGGGTGCTGGGAACTGAATTTGGGTTCTCGGCAAGAGCAGAATGTACTCTTAGATGTTGAGCTATTTCTCCAGTCCTGAAGTATCATTATTTATCACTCTGTGATTCTGTGATGCGGGGCTATGGCTCTGGACTCAGGGCCACACTGGGACACATGGATGTTTCCACTGAATACCTTCCTGGGTCGAGTGACAATGGCTATGAAAAGACTCTCGGTATCTGGCCAGTTTCAGAGCATTGACCTCTTCAGGTAAATTTACAAGAATTTTTTTTCATGTTTTCCAAAACCATAAAGTAAAAGTATTTTGGATTTGAGGCCCCCACCCTATCCAGTTTATGTAGTGGTCACAGATACAATATTATTTTAGGATTCTACCCACATTTTACTTTATTTATAATTTTTGTATTTTTAAAGTGTTTCAGACCATGAAGGCCACATACCAGATTGGCACAGCCTGTGAGTTGTTTAAAATAGCCCCTGCCATATCCTGCTGTTGGCCTGAATAAGACTCAACGGCTAATGCCTGTACAAGCCACAAATTTTAAAAGACCTTGTAAATTATGCTTATAAAATTATAGAACATGAATGAACTACAGGTATATTTCTAATCATAGTGTCTCATTTTTTCCTATAGTGACATACTTTCCACTCATGAATATACAAACTGTAGACATCTTCAAAGAGCAGTAGGAAATGGGCATTTGGGGACAGAACTCTTTTCTTCTAATGGATTACAAATGTCTGGAATTCTTTGCTTCATTTTGCTGTCAAGGTAAACGGTCCTCAGTAGGATGTGCACCCTCCCTTCCAGCTTCCCCAGGTGGTACAGATTCTCACAGAAATGACCCAGTCCTAGTCCTCATGGATATTACATACTCTCATTGGGGAGGCTTTGTCAAGTTCAACCTCCAGTTCACAAGTCAGCAGAAATAAATGAATTCCCAACCCTTCTTGAGATTTTATAGAACAGATCCTCTTGTCTGGAAATACTTAAGTAAGAAGGTGAGGTCAGGCCGGACAGATGGGTAGTATAGTATGTCTATCGTGTTTTCTATTACTTCAAGAATTATTTTAAACTAGGGATCTAGATTTGGGGAAGATCATCAAAATGATCCTTGATGGATCATCCACGTGTATTTGAAACACCACTATTTAAGATGGGTGCTGGGGACTGGGGAGATGGTTCAGTCAGTAAAGTGCTTGCCCTGTAAGCATGAGGTCCCAAGTTTAATCCCCAGCATCCATGTAAAAAAACTGGCATGGCAGCAAGCCCCTGTGATCCCCATATTACAGAGCAGAGACAGGAGGATCCTGGGCCTTGTTGGCCAGCCAGCCTAGCTGAACTGGTGAGCTTCAGGTTTAGCAAGAGACCCTGTCTCAAAAAATAAGATGGAAAGTGACTGAAGAAGACATTGGATATGGACCTCTGGCCCGCACATGCACAAGCATATATACCCAAATGCACACGCGCAGATACAGACACACACACACACATACACACACACACACACAACACAACACACAGAGACACAGACTGGAGATGGAGAACCCCATCGGATAATCTAATGAGGAAAGTGATCATTGATACGTGTAGAAAAGCACAGATTGAAATAACGTGAATGAGAAAGATGGTGACATCACATGACCTCCTTCAGCTGAGGTCATATTTTCTGTCCTACGTACTGAACATTAAACCTGTAAGTTTTATAGACAAAAGGAGGTCGTGAGTGGCCAGGAACCCCATCTGATGTCTGCAGGTGGTTTTCAAACAAAGGCAAAAGAACAAACCGGTTGAACTTGAATTCTTACACCACTGGGAGGGGGTGGGGGCAGGTGCCTATATTTGGCTTCTGAAATTAGCCTAGAAATGTAATATTCTACACAACCAGCAACTCATTCTTCTTTCACAAAATGAGATATAAATGAGCTCAGCCAGACCCTTTATTTCCCTCCAGGGTCAAGGAAATCACTGTTCTTTGCCACTGTGAAGGGCTGGATTCTGTCCTCCAATGTGTCCCCCCCAACCCCCACATACCATGGAATGTGACTTTATTTGAAAATACAGTCTTTGCAGTGTCATTAGAAGACATGAGCTCCCAGGGGGGTAGAGTAGTTCCCTAACCTAGTGATTGAGTCCTTAGAGGAAGAAGGCAGGTGGACATAGACACACACACACCAGAGAACACACTCTATTCCCAGTGCTGAGGTGGGACTGAGTCTTCTGGGAGTCAAGGATCACTGGGTCCTCATAGCCTCCCCCAGTAATTTGCAAGAGGCAAAGAATTCTAGCCAGAATTCTTCACAGTGATCAAGGAGTTTCCTGTTAAAGCCACCTAGTTGTGGTTCTTTCTTATGGTGAGTTCACCGGCCACCTGTTCCATTATAGACTCGAGTCTTAACTGAAAGGTCAAGGTGAGGTGAGCAGTCACGGGGCAGAGCAGCTTTACCTGCCACGTAGTCTCCAAATCCAATTGTTGTTAGAGTGATAACCACAAAGTAGATTGCGTCCAGGGCGCTCCAGCCTTCTATATGTTTGAATATGATCGCGGGCAGAGCCACGAAGAGGACACAGCCAAACAGGATAAATATGATGGTGGAGATGATGCGAATCTTGGTCTGACTGACGTTCCACTTCTAGGGATGAGACAGGAGAGGAGGAGAGAGGTTATCTATGTGCCCACAGGACTAAAGCCACACAGTTACCACCATGTGAGTGTGTTTTTGTGTCCGCTGAACTTAGTTCTGCTGTTACTTGTGAGAAGTGTGTACAACATAAATAATTCAGAACAACCAATGTGAATAAATAATGTTACTTTTCACATACCTAACTTTGTAACAGGTAAAACAGTTTTCAGAATTAGATTACATTTGTTTGGAGAGTATAATTTCAGATCTGAATCATTACTTATTTGAACCACTTATGAAATATTTCCATGCTGTAAGCACATGGCTGGCTGTGGGCGAAATGTAACTGGGAGTATGAGATAACAGAAAACGGAATGCTACAAGGTTTCAGCTGAGAATGGCAAGTACCGACAAAGACATTGGTTCAAGGACTAAAGGTTAGCACTAAGGCGTCTGCCGTCTTATGCCCATGTGAGTCACGTGCCTGTGAACAGCAAAGCCCCAGGCAAGAGTGAATCTTCACAACCTTGATCATTCCTGTGGCCACAGCACCTGTTTATTTCCTGATGCTTTTCCACCTCATTCTCCAACTAGATGCTTTTTTTCCCTTGTTTTTTAAGCAACCCAGGCTCGCCTAAAACTCACAACTGTCCTGCCTCAGCCTCCTGGGTGCTAGAATTACAGGTATATGTCACCACGTTTAGTAGCTTAGTGTCCATGTGCTTGTTTTATTCAATGATTGGACGTGTTGTAATTGCACACTATATCCCAGGTCCTGTGCAGACCACTGAATGGAACCATCAGGATGGCTCAGCAGATAAAGGTACTTGCTGCCAAGGCTAATGACCTGAGTTCAATCCCTGGGACCCACATGGTGGAAAAAGAGAACTGGCTCATGCAAGCAACTCCACACAGCACTGATGCATTTGTGTGTGCCCACATCCACCCATCCAACAAGTAGACAGAATTTAAATGTTTCTTTTTTTAAAAAAAATGAAAGACTGAATTATACAGTGTATTTTTTCTAAGAATAAACATCTACAAAATCACAGAATGGAAGCAATCAGGATAACAGGGTGTGCCACCAAATGCTATATCATGACCAGGGGAACCCCATCACCAAGAGGGTGCGAAGGTTTTATTAAGTGACCGGAATGCATGTAACATGATAAACATTGTACAACATCTATGGAGCCATCAAGATTTTGCTGAACACAAGAATGAGGAATTCAGCATTGCCAAGTTCATGCTACAAATCCGTCTCCCGATGAGTCTAAATACAAGAGTCTAATGTATACAAGGAGGGGTAATGCCACAATAAACAGAAGGGGCCTCCCTTGTGGAATAACGGTCTCGTTCCACTCCAACAGTAAAAAAGTTCCAGCCGACTTTGATCTTAAATACAAAAAATTGTTACTGCTATAATGAAATCGTAATTTAAACAGAGAAACAAAAGCTGATAGTTTCAGTTCATCAGTGGAGTTATATATACATATTTTGTTGGAATTTATATAAAAAGACAAAAGCTAATTGAATAATAAAACATGCTGCAGTACTGTGGGCAGTAATAAATGACTTCTAAAAATGACTTATAGGGGCCAGAGAGATGGCTCAGCGGTTAGGAACACTGACTGTTCTTACAGAGACCCAGGTTGGAATCCCAGCACCCACATGGCAGCTAACAACTGTCCTTAATTCCAGTCCCAGCGGATCTGACAGTCTCTTCTGTCCTCCACAGGCATTGCACAACACAGGTGTGCTTACCTACTACATACAGGCAATATACACATACACATAAAATAAAAATAAATAAAATATTTTTTAAAATGACATAATCCATCCTTCTAACACCACTGTTTTATCCTTACATAATTCAAAAATACAAGCTTATAGTCATAAATTTTTAATTTTTACATGTGTGTTCTGAGTGAGTTTATGCACACCACATGGATGCAGAAGCCTGTGGAGACCAGAAGAGGGCACTGGATCCCCAGGGACTGGAGTTACAGATGGTGTGAGCCACCATGTGGGTGCTGGGAGCAGTAAGCACTTTCAACCACTGAGAAGTGTCTCCAGCCCCTAATTACATTTTTATTTTTCACTCACCACTTCAATTACAGCATCTTTATTAACTGTCTCCTGAATATTACACAGACCCAACATCTCCATGTATACTACCTTTGATTCTACTGAACTACTGCATTCTGTATTAAGTCTCTATCAACAGCATGACTGACTGAAGTTTTATAATAACATGTTTTGTGTTTTCTGTTTATTATTATAACCTTCCCAAAAGGGTGACATGAATTTTCAATGCCAATGGTAATTAAGAGAGGTAACAAGGCATCAATGTTTTAAATTTTATTATATATGTTTTGTTGAGGAAGTATCTCCCTGTAGCCCCAGCAGGCCTGGAACTACCTATGTAAACCAGGCTGGTCTTGATCTCACAGAGATCTGCCTGCCTCTGCCTCCTGAATGCTGGGATTAAAGGCGTGTGCCACCACCATGCCGGGCATATTTTACTTATTTTTATTTGATGTGTATGAGCATTTTGCCTACGCATGTAAGTGCACCCATGTGCATGCAGTGCCCATGGAGGCCAGAAGAGGGTGTCAGATGCCCTGGAACTGGAGTTACAGATGGTTGTTAGCTATCAGGTGGGTGCTGGGAACTGAAGTCTGTATCCTCCACAAGAGCAGCAAGTGCTCTTAACCACTGAGCCATCTGTCCATCCCACAAAGCAACTTTTGAATAAAAGATGTGGTCAGTTATTTGCTTCCTGTGCTACTGTCAACCCCAGAGCGATGCCTGGTTGTCATTCATGTCACACAAATAAGAAAACAGAGGTTTGAGGGAAAGTAACTACCTTTAAAGAAAATAGCTAGGGAGCTGGGGGATAGCTCAGTCGTGTAAAGAGCTTGTCTTGCAAACCTAAGGGCCTGAGTTGGATCATCAGGACCCACATGAACAACAACAACAACAAAAGCCAGGTGTGGTGGCACATGCTTGTAATCCCAGAGCTGGAAAAGCAGAGCAGGCAGACCTCTGGAGCTTACTGGCCAATCACTTGTCTCAGAAAACAAGGTACATGACACCCAGGATTCCCCTGTGTTTTAGTGAGTGAGGAGTGAGGGAGTGAGGAGTGAGGGAGTGAGGAGTGAGGGAGTGAGGAGTGAGGGAGGGAGGAGGGAGTGAGGGAGGGAGGGGGGAGGGGGGAGGGAGGGGGGAGGGAGGGAGACAGCTGGGAAATATACATCTGCAACTGGAATCCAGGAAGGACCTAATTCTACTTTTTTGTGCATAATTTTGAGTTTCTCTGAGACAAGTATACAAGTAGTTAAAATACACTGAGTTACACACTGATGGAGACGCATATAAACTGTTATGGAAACAACTGAATTTCTACCTAAGAAGAGGTATTACATTTGGAAAACTAAGCAGTAAATTCAAAGTTAAAAGCCTGTGATACCCACAATAAATGTCTCTTCCACTTTGGCAATCCCTTTTCCAAATATGGTTCCCAGCTGGTCTCCAACTCCAGCCAGCAGAAAGCCAAAGAGGGGAATTCCCAGCAAGGCATAGATGATACAGAATATCTTTCCACCTTCTGTGCGTGGGGAGATGTTCCCAAATCCTAAAAGACAAAAGTGAAAAAATTCAACTGCTCATCAAATAACAATTTATAACATCTCATCCCCATGATTAATTCGGAAATCAGCAACTACTATAAGATTTTGATTACTGATTTCTAGTAAAGACTCCCTTTATTCCATATATGAATATATACACATAGATGTATGTACACATGGGCTGCAACATTGAAATACTATTATAAACAGATAATCTAATAAAAATTCAATACAAATGCAGCTAATGCTTCAATTAAACTTTAATCAAATGATAAAAGCATGGTGCTAATACACTAAGTCAATCTTTCCATTGAGGCTACTTCTGTCTGCTAGCCCGAATATCGGTACTGACTATGAGCCTTTCATTATTTGTCAGAATATATCAAGAACAGCCTAATTTAGGGTGTCCAAATACTCCTAAGTTACCCAAAGAGTAAAGCTGAGTAGTAATTTTTTTATTGTTTTTATTTTATGTGTATGAGTGTATTGCCTTCATGTATGTGAGTGCACCTGTGTTGTGCAATGCCACGGAGGTCAGAAGAGGGCTTCAGATTCCCCTGGAACTGGAGGTAAGGACGGTTCATAGCCACCATGTGGGTGCTGGGAATCGAACCTGGGTCCTCTGCAAGAGCAGTCAGTGCTCTTAACTGCTGAGCTGTAATTTTTAAGTCTTTTTATTCAAGCACACTCAAAACAAACAGCTAAATACAAACTTCTAAAGTTCTGAAGGTTTCGAGGCTGTAAAGGTTTGCACTTGTTACGAGCTGGGAAGTACAGCTTTACCAACTTCATCACAGAAGCACTGTCCACATGCTTGGAGAGAAGGACACTTGGTCTCAGGAGAACTCGGTGTGCTTCTATGGGTGGATAATCCTTTCACTGTCCTCCACACCAAACTCATCTGGAACTTTTGTTCTAAGTGTTAAGTTTCTCTTACTCATAAATGAAAATAATCTGGGATTTGATTTTTGTTGTTTTCTGCCTATTTTATGATGATAGTCAAAGAACATGGTTTACATGATTTTTACTTTTTTGGAAGCTGTTGAATGTTCTGTAGAACCACTAATGTGAACATTTATAGTGCCTCTGTCCTGTCTCTGACTCAATAAAACTGTGAGGAGTTCTATACAGCTGTTCCTAGAGCAGGTGCTGGGCCTAAGAAGCCATGAGGCAGCTATAAACTGGTGGTTGCTGGGAAGAATTGGGAGACTCTCTGAAAGTCACAGGAGGTGAGTGACTCAGAGTTGTCAGCATTCTGCCTTCCAGTATCCCTTAGTCATGTCACCTTGGGCAAACTACTTCCTAGTCTGTTATAGGTGCATGTTGTTATTACAAAGTCCCTCAAGGTATAAGAGCTAAGGAAAATACTACATGACAGTGTTTACAAAAGTCTATTAAACTACATGAGTAGTTCAATATATGTCAGGTAATACAAGTGCCACTCTATTAATAATATCGGTGGAGGCATATCAGCACGTAAACGAATATGCATGCTAATGAACTTAGCATTACACTGTGTTCTGGAATGTTCTGGCTACTGTGGGTGCCATTCTTTTACAAAGGACATTAGAAAAACTGTGCACAGCTGAAGGAAACTTTTAGAGTGTAATGTTGAAAGGACCGGGGTACTTAGGATGAAGGAAAAAAAAGACTGAGCATACAAGAAGGTGGCCTTGGTAACTGCCACTGTGATCATAACACAGGAAAGAACCGTAGCTCATCAGATGCTTCAAGATCAAAGTGACAGGTGGAAGCATCGCAAAGTGACTCACGCCGAAGTATGCACAGCCAAGGAGAGAGAACGGCTGTGGGAGAGGCACAGGCCATCAGTTCTGTGCCTAACATTTGGGACTGATGTTCTTCCAGGACTCCCGATTTAACAGGCAAATATATGTGCTGTCCTAAGGACAACGTTCTCTAACTCCTACTTTTAGTCATGCATGCATTAGGAAGTACTTCATCGAGCATCCAGACTTGCCAGACAACAGCCAAGGAGAGAGAACGGCTGTGGGAGAGGCACAGGCCATCAGTTCTGTGCCTAACATTTGGGACTGATGTTCTTCCAGGACTCCCGATTTAACAGGCAAATATATGTGCTGTCCTAAGGACAACATTCTCTAACGCCTACTTTTAGTCATGCATGCATCAGGAAGTACTTCATCGAGCATCCAGACTTGCCAGACGTGATGCTAAGTACTAAGGGTAGAACTGTGAAATAGGCAAATTTGATCTCTCAGATGAGCGAGGAAGGAGCACATTCATACACAAGTGTTTGTGTCTGTCTGTCCGTCTGTCTGTCACAGGCTCTAGAGAACGATCTTGGTGAAGAGGGACTGGGAGAATGAAAGAAGCTGCCCATTGGAATGATCCCAAAGTTGTGACCAAAAACTAAATCGAAGTTACCCAGGTGGCACAAAGAAGTGGGACTCACGTATCTGGAGTCCTCGCAAAGCCGCAACAATCACACTCAACATAAAGGACTGTGTGTGAGTTAAGGCAGAAAAAGAAGCAAAGGGAAATCAAGGCTGTTGTGAAAGCTCTTGTCCATGTGAAGGAGTTCGGGCCACAGGAGTTGCTGTAAGATAGGATTCAACGTTTGGCTACAAAGACAAGAATGTTCCCAGGGAGGCAAGAAGGAAAATGTCAAGCTCAGACTTTGGCATGATTACCGGTCATTTGGAGAACAATTCTTGGAGATAAACAAGCTGTCAAGGGATCATGTTTGAGGACACCAAAGGTAGTGCAATGGAAGGTAAGTGTTGTCTTGGGTAAGTGTCCATCAGTGATCTGTGTGCTAAAGACTTGGTGATCAGGGCAGTGCTATGAGGAGTTGGTGCACCTATAAAAAGGTGGCTGTCTTAGTTTCTTTTCCTCCTGCTGGAATAAGATACCCCAAAAGAAGCAGCTTAAGGGAGAATGAGTTTATTTCAGCTCACAGTTCAAGGGCATGGGGGAAGTCGAGGGAGCAGCTCCACACAATCAGGAAGTTGAGGGCAATGAAGGCTCACTGCTGACAATCCCCCTATTAACCATTCAGGATCCATGAGAGGGAATGGTCCTCTTTAAATCGATTAATGTAATCAAGACAATCCGCCCCCAGCATGCCCTGAAGCCTCTCTCAGGTGTCTAAATTCTGCCAGGTTGACAACATTAACCATCACAGTGGAGCCTAGTGGGAGATCTTTAGGTCAGTGGGAGGGTGCCCTTAAAGGAAACTGGGGTTCTCCAATCATGTCTGTCTTTGTCTCCCAACTCACAATGCAATAGTGCTGCTCTGCCATGCTCTCTCCTGACCACTGCCATCTTGTCTACACACCAGAGGCCCAAAGTAGTGTGTCCACCAGATCTTGGACTGGGATTGCCAAAACAATGAGCCAAAATAAACTTTTCTTTTTATAAAGTAACTTTCTCAGGTATTTTGTTATCCCAACAGAAAGCCGACAATAAGGAGATGGCGCTTTGGAGCAGGCCGATCTTGAACAGTCACTGGACTAACAGAAGGAGATGTCCAATGTGTGTGCCTTCATGAGTCTGAAACCCAGCAACTGGAGTCAGAAACCTGAGCTGGTCTAGATCACAGAATAGATAAAATACTCTGCAAAAATGTACAGACTCCAAAGAACAGAAAACCGGGGCAAAACTTCAAGCAATGCCAACACTCAAGGCATTGAAAGTGCAAGGGGGTGGGGGTCAGAAACGGACTATGACTAGAGCAAAGTTACAGGAAATGGCATCTCAAACGAGGAGAGTAGCAAACATCACCAAACCATTTCAGTCGGCCAAATAAGACGATCAGTGATGAAAGCCAAGGACTTAGCAATAAATCTGTCACAAGTGATATGGTATTTCGGTGACAGTATCAGGAGGCACTGTGCAAACAGGCGTCTGCTCCAAAGTCTATTTTACCTCCCACCCCCTCCTTCCTTCTCTCCCAATACCTCCCTTCCCCACTTCCTCTCACAAACCTCCTTCTTCTCCCATTCTACTTTTTATTTAGAAATCAATGTAGGAATGTTGCGTAGAATGCCTGGGTAGTCTCTCTGCTTCTGTGGACAGATTCCTACTTTGCCTTATTTCTTTCTCTACATAAATAAATTCCTTTTTCAAAATCATTTTATAGTAAGCAATAGGAATCCTCGTTTATTATTTATTTTATTGTTGTTGTTTGAAACCAGGTCTCAAAAATCCAAGGCTGACCTCAAACTTTCCACGTACCTAAGGATGTACCTGATCTGAGTTTACTGCCTCCATTTCCAGAGTGCTGAGATTACAGGAGTGTACCATCATGGTTGGTTTATGCAGTGTCATGGGTCAAACTCAGGGCTTTGTGCATGCTGGGCAAGCACTATACCAAGCTACATCCCCATCCATTGACCCCTGAATTCTTTGCTGTATTTCCTTTCATAAAAAGATATTCTTTTTAATGACTACGGCATAATTATCACATCTGGAAAAGCTAACATTGATTCAGGATTTTCACTGAATTTACAATCGACATTCAGATTTTGTCAAAGATCATGTTTATGTCCTTCATATTTTTCCTTGATCAACTCAAGGAAAACACACTGCACGTAACTGAAATGTCTCCTCTGTCTCTAATCTCTTCATTCTTAAACCTTTCATCTTTGAATACATATGTGTCAGTAAAGAACTGAGGCCAAACAGTTCATAAAATTTTCTTCAGTTTGGACATGTCAGATACTTCCTCACAAACAGATACACATCATGTTTATAGACGGGAATGTTACACCCTTTGAGACATATTACGTCTGGAGGCACATGGTGCCGGCTTATCCCATCAGTGGTGACACTGTTGTTGAGTACTTGGATAAAGTGCATCCACTGAAAAGTCCCTCTTCTTCTCCTTACCAAACAATAATTTTTGGTGAAAGACTTGCAGACCATATAAATATTCTGCTTCTCAAACTTTCTCCCACTAGTAGTGATTCCGGGAACAATTAAAAACAGGGATTGTGCCAGAAAAGAAAGGCTGAAGGCAAATAAG